TCATCCGCATCGAAGAGGACTGTACTCTCCGTCGTACCTAAAGAAATTGTTTGGAGCAGTTTTCAGCGTTCTCTTCAGCTGCTACATCAGTTCAGTAGAAGTTATTTGGGTACCTCACTATTTTTTTCAGGAACAACAGTTTGCTGATGATCCACCTCGCATGGTGCACGACGATATTCTGGTGGCTAAACTCCGGCCAGGACAACAAATAGAAGCCTAATTGTCATGCTGTCAAAGGAATTGGGCGTGACCATGCTAAATTCAGTCCAGTAGCCACAGCTACCTATAGGTTCGCTCCAGTGCATTTTCATAATGAGAACCAATTGTCTCTTGAATTTCATTTCAACTTCAGCGCTTCTTTCTTTACTGTCATAATTAGCTGCAGTCATGTTTCGTGCAAACCATAGGGCGCGTGCAGCGACCTGCAGTGGAGCGCTTCCAAGGTGGCCTTTCCATCAGTAATGCCATCCTGAGTACGCTACAGCTGGTAGGAAATCTGCCCTGGTTGCGCTACAAGCCACGCCCCGCCACTCGTCATATGGTTTGCAGGGATTACGACTGTATGTAGTGAGGGCGGTTCATGCCCTGCTCCGGGTTCTACGCAGACGGTTGTTCGTTCAGGCTGCTCCCCACAATTCGTCTTCTCGGTGAGGTTCGTGGCGAAGCTGCAGTTCGATTACAAGAATCTTTTAGTGAAGGTGTCATCGAACTCAAAGAGAAAGATGGTGAGCCTAATATCGATTCTGATTCTGTCAATGACTTAATTTGAAAATTTAGGTGAAAAGTTCGCAGTAGTTGCTGATGCGCGACGAGATACTTGCAGCCGAAATGTTTTCAGACATGATGATTTAGCGCCTCTTGTGGAACTAGGAAGGAAGAAGGACCACTTCATTTGTGAGTTGGGACATTTCGGGTCATGACTGTAACGACAAAGGTGTTTGAGTATTTCTTATCTTACAGTTAGCGTCGAGTCAACAGGAGCTTTGAAATCAGCGGAGTTGGTTGTGGAGGCATGCAAGGTATGTGTATCCACAGCGACTTGGTGACGTGTAGATGTTTTCTATAAAGAGATTTCTTTTAGCATAATCGTAGGAAGGTATCTTTGATGGATTGTTTTTGTTTCAATATTCACCCAGACTGATGAGATATGCGTGTTTGATGGAAAGGGGGTAGGGGGTGAGGCGGGAAGGGCAAATTACCACTAAAGATGTTCAACAAATTGAAGGGGTCAGAGGTGTTTAAACGGCTCATGCACGAGGCATTTTTGCGCCAAGCGAGTTGGATATTCTTATTCAAATTATTCAAAGCCAACCTCCTCCTGGTGAAGTTGCAAGTCTTCTCCTTGTGACGAATTTCTTGCTAATTTACTAACACCTACAAATTGCAATCGAAATATGGCCCAAATCCCGAAAAAAATCTTAAAGTTTGTCGAGGGGTAAAGAAATCTATTTCCTCGGATAAACAAAAGATTTCAAACCATGTAGTATCCTACGTACCTAGTAATTGAAGGGGCGTGGATGCGAACAAGCAGGGGAAGGTAGTCTGTCCGGCGGCGCCTGGGTGTCTTCCTCCAAGACTTGTCGAATGGATTTTCGGGAGACTATGACTTCTCTGCCAGACTATCCGCGGAAATGGACTAGACAATCGGGGTTTGTCGCGTAGCCGCGTGCTGCGTATCATGCGGCAACTTCTCAGTGTGCATCATTTTGTCGATGGGAGCAGCAGAACAGACATGAATTTGGGGCGAAACTCGATAGGGAATATCAAATTTTCTTGTGCTTTCAAAGCTCAAATTATTCGCCCTGGGAGGGCAACTCGTCTGCCGGGCGCGGCGTCTTTCACCACGCCCATCAGCGCGCGCACATTACGACTGTCTTGGTCACATCGCAACTACCCGTTGAGCACTCAGTTCGTCTGGTCCTTCAGGATTAGGCCTTGATTAGGGAAAGAATACAGAGGCGCGGAGGTGAGTGTTGCACCCTTCCTCCCTCCCACTCCCTCAACTGACTATGTTAGTGTCGGAAGCTACTTATTAATTACTGGAGTATAAGCCGCACCTATCCACATAACCGATTAGACGGTTGGCGACGCATGGGAACAGGCAAGGCAACAGCGGCGTCGCTCTTCGTTTATTAATTCAGCACTAAGGGCAGCAGCGTTCTGGGGCGCAACGCATAAACTGCTTACTGACTGGGTAGAAAGGTTGCAACAGAAGTCAAGCAAAAACGGAATTCTTCCCAATCCCAATCAATGTATTTTAACTAAATTTTTGAATCTTTTCTTTGTACCCTGCTGATTTTACTTATTCTACATTCCTTTCGGCTTTCTAGGTGATGGAGGAGAAATGCAGATCACTTCGAGAGCAAATAGCGGAGGTGCTTGGACGTAAATGAACTGCAACATTCATGGACTAACTTCTGTTTTGTCTGTTTTGTTATGTCTGTTACTTTCACAGTTTACTGTTTGCATATTTGTCTGTTTTTGTTGTCGATGTGTTGAAATTTATGATATCCTGTTGTCTTTGCGCACATATTTCAGTTTTAATAATTATTAGTTGCTATTATTCAAAAGCTTTGTAATAGTTGTCATCACATCTATGCCGATGTGACTGTTGTTATAAAGTTGGATTATCTTGAGTGTGTAAAAGTGAGCCACTGGTGTTATCCAGTGTGTTGTACTATCTTTTTACCATATTTTTTCGTTTTTTTTCTTTTTTGAAAATGAGGGCTGCGAACATTATTTCTGAATGTGTTTGTGGATGGCGCGCCATCGCGCTCAGTCCGGCATACCTAGCTAGTTGACTCAAAATAGCACTTAATCGTCAAATTGAAGGCAGTTGGCACGATAAATCCCTCAAGACGAGTAGGATTAATACGCTTCGGCAGAGGGCGGAATTCCGCGATCCTGAGCAGGCGCTGCATAATGCCTTTTCCAGAAGGTGCCCTTATAAGGGCCTATCAAGCGAAGAGATTGGTATGAAGCGGCCCTGATGCTGCATGGATATAGGAGTGCATAAGCAGGCCGTACCTTCGGTAGCGGTTATTGGCAAGATGCCTACGGGAAACTCGTCCAAAATTGATTTTTGACGCATACTGAGAACGGAGGCTTTTTCTTCGCAGGATTCTTTCGACCGTTTCGCTTTCTTTCGCCATTTTCCCCACTACATAGCGCCCTACTAGCATTTTGGGGGCCGAGGCACCAAGTCATCGTGCCAACTGCTTTAAATCGATTCGCGGCAGCTCATAATTATTCAAGCTGTCTGCCATTACCAAAGTAATTTGAATCCAGAATACTGTTGGACTAAAGCGGCTTTTTTGGTTTGTGCACGATGCCGCACCCTGTACCTTCTGAACTACATCAGGTGCTATGTACTTTCGGTCACATCACATTTGTTACAGGTGTCAAGCTGATAAGTTAGTTTTCCAAATCAACTCACCCCAACCATGGGTATCCCCATGATCCAAGTCTTCATGATCGCCGCTAGGCAGGTGAACATCTGAGAAAACATTCATTTTCCCCATTTTATTATGTATCTCATTTCAAGGTTCATTTCAGATATCAAAGCCAGTGGCAGATGCGGTACTTAAGTATGGCAAAAATCATCCTGGATTTCGGAATAAAATTCTGATTCCTATTGGAAGAGGTGTGTTGCTTGAGGCAAAAAAAAAAAAAAAAAAAGAAAAAAAAAAAAAAAATTTGCTGACGACTTAGCCCAAGTTTTTAATTGGAACTGATTGTTGCGGCAAAGCTTTTTTCAAAACTGGCTGTCCCCAGACCTTGTGCTGCTAGGTCATAAAGGAAGTTTCCGCGGTTAGACCTCAAATTCCAAACATGCCTTTCCGAATTGCCAAATGTCAACAAATTCCAATCCTCTGTTGCTATCAAAAGGCTTCTTACTATGAGAACAGGTGTGTCTATCTCGAAATCTGGAGATCTCGTGGCGATAAAATCGGTGAATGTCGATCGCTAAAGATATGTCGGAAGATGATCAGTTACTAGGAAGGGTAATCATTGGGCCCGATTGTGAAGATTGGTGTATGCGCAGAATTTGCGTAGCATAGTCCCGTTTCAGGCCTTCTTGGGGGAGGGTGGGGGTGGGGGCTTAGGCTACGTAGATCCTAGCGTTGTCGTGAGTGAAAACGGCCTCTACCTGTTGACAGGCCAGCCACAGAGCATCAAACCACCCCATAGGATGGTGGACTGCTCGGATCGATGACCTTTCTGGTCTTGATTCAGTTTGTGCGGCACCCACTATCAACTTCTTCAACTTTTCGATCTCTTGTGTGTGAGTACCAGCCGTCCTTGAAACATTGTCTCGAGGCAATGTTCAACATTTTACGCATAAAACTCTTCTGTGCTTTCAAGTGGTCGTTATCAACGTACGATGGTCGGATACCTCGCTCATTATTCTAAGGCTCCCATCTTCAGTGCAAAATTTCTCAAACCACCAGTGCACATTCAAGCCACTGTATAAAGCAAGACGCTGCGAATTGATATATGATGTGACAGCTACCTCACACCAAGTAGAGCTGGGAACAGGACTCGAACATGAGTCACCAAATACCGCAGGACTCGTGGGCGATCTTTGGCCACTAGAAGCTAAGGCTCTACTATACCACCACACATTGTGTCCCCACGCTATATCCACACCCGGGCACATGGCTCTCCATTACGCTGTAGTCTGTGCTTTTACTTTGGGGAACTATTAGACACTAGTCTTGTAAAGGTCCACAGTCGAACAACTTTATATTAAAGGCAGTTGGCACGATAAATCCGGTCAAGACGAGTAGGATAATACGCCTGGCAGGACGGAATTCCGCGACCCTGAGCAGGCGCTGCATAGCGCCTTTCCCAAGGAAGGTGCCCTTATAAGGGCCCTATGAAGCTACAACATGCCGACCCGAACGCCCACCACGCCCGCCCGCCCACAAATGGACGACCGTTCCTGACGCTCGTACTGCTTCATTTGCTAAGTAAATTATGAAGAAGCGATTGGTATGAAGCGGCTGCGATGCTGCATGGATATATGAGTACACATATGCAGCCGTATCTTCGGTAGCGGTTATTGGCAAGATGCCTACGGGAAACTCGTCCGAAATCGATTTTCAAGTCACTGAGAACGGAGGCTTTTTCTTCGCAGGATTTTGACCGTTTCACTCCGTTCTTTCGCCATTTGTCCACTTGATAGC